TTGCACTAGAATAATTCCACTGGATCAATGCGAATTCAGTGATTCTACTCCTCCATAAGGTCCATTGATTCAAATGGGACTACTTTAACTGTGACCGTCTAAGCTAAAGTAAGTCACAACTAGAGTAGGCCCATTTGAACTTATGGAGGCTTTGATTCACTTATTTCCTATTCATTCAATGAGCCTACGCTAGTGCAAGTTGCTGTCCTAAGCAACAGGATTATGGCCAATATAAGGCAGCTTCATCTGTCCATGTCTCCCAGGAGTTTCTTGCAAATAAGATGTGGTATTTAAGCCAACAGAACCAGCCATATAAACCCATCACTCTGTTTGGCTTCCATGCCAGTTCAAGACGTGCAAGCCTTTTTCATCAAGGATCTCCGTCACAACTTCTCCACTTCTTTTCCTCCTGCGCTAAGTTATATATCAGACCACAGACTTTGGTACCTTGTCTTTGAGCGTGCTTGTGGACAACAAAAATAAGACACAAAATAATTTTAAAAATATAGGCACGAAAGCACATTTTGTGCTCTCAAAAAGGGCATCAGGGAAAAGCAGGCAGGGAGGGAAACCACTGCCCTGGGGAGGGGAAGCCTCTCTCAGAGCAACGGTATCTGTTGCTGGATCGTCCCCCATTCAGACTGCAGCTGGGCAGCCGATGTTCTGCTCTGTCCCGTCCCACATGATTCCCTCCTCTTCAGGAAGCAGGCAGCATTACCAAGGTAGCTGGAAGCTGTTACCGGATCTCTCTCAAGAGGTTTGAGGGTTCCGGCTGAGAGTCTGTAGAGGCTGGAGGAAGGGGGCACGTAAATGGCAAAGTGAGGAGTCATCCGTGAGCCACTGTATTTATTTTGGCAGGCAGGAGAGAAGAACGAGCCCTTCCTCTCCTAAGAGCGTTTCAGGAAAGAGCAACATTTAGAAGGAAGCGCCGTTGAGCAGGACTTGGAGCTGGTGCAAGCTCACCCACCACCCAAAACGGGAAGGAAAGCACTCCTGCCCATGGTGGAGGGAGTGGGAGGGGAGCCCCACGCCACATGGAGGGAGGAGGAGAGAATGGAGGCAAGGCAGTAGGGGAGCCTTGCTTTGCCCCACTGATACCTCACTTAAAGTCTTGGAGGAAGGCCTAGCTGTGAGGGGCTTCTCAGGGACAAGGTGCTGTGGGAGTGGTGTGCCAAGACACAGTGGACTTCTGGTTTTTGTGGTCAGCTGTCCCACAACACTTTGTCAGCCTTAGATCGTTCTCCACCCAGGAGTCAAATATTATACAGGCCGACAACCAAGTCACAAACACCGTAAAGGTGAGGCAGCCCTTTGGGAAGGTAAAATTCTGGTCATGGCCAGTTTAGGAAATAGTGAGTGCGGGTGTGTGTGTGTGTGGGGTAGGTGGTAGGTCTGCTGCCGCCCCAACACATCACTCCACTCCCTGAAGAGAACAAAACCTCCCTGGCTCATGAATGGTTTGGCCCTGGCAGGATGTCTCCTCTATTGAGTGATGATTCATAGCATCGACCTATTAGTTACTGCAAGCCAAAAGGTGAAATTGAAAATAGTTAACAAAAGGTCATCTAGCAGGGTTCAGGATTGTACAGCATTCCAAATGTCACTGGGCTACAACTCCCACCATGCCTCATCAGTGGCTATGCTAGCAGAGCTGATGGGTGTTGTAGTCCAACAATATCATGTCTCTCTCTACAGAAAATGAGCAAAGATGGGGGATGATGGACATGATTGGGGGATGATAATGAAGTAGTATATGAGAGATGTTCTATCTCCCCACTATATTCTTACACATGTATCCTCTATCACCTGCTTGTAATTATTATTTCCCAGCCAGAGTTCTACCTAAACTAAGACAAAAACAAAACATTCAAGAATGCTTTTTGGAGAACTTAGCAGAAGTCAAGCCCCGCCTCCCCTCAAGTCCCCAAAACATAACAACAAAGAGCAAGTTGCTGTCTGTTTCTAACTTAGTTCTTACTTAGTGTGAAACTTTACAAAAAAAGAAAAGCCCTTTAAAAAAGGTTCCTGCTAATGCAAATTCCAAAGTAAAGACAGTTAACTCTCCACATATTGCAGATTGGAAGTGACTCCATCTGGGAGATTTATGGAAAAGCCACAGCACTGTTCCCAGTGCCTACTTCAGATGGGTTTCGAGTGATACAAAATGGCCCTGTAGCGTGAGCCAGAGGTATTTGACCCCTGTTACAGGACAGCCAGAAACTCTGAGATAGTGTACAACAACTTTCCCGTATTATCCACAAAACACAATAATGAGAATGTGTCTCGCTTTTCACTCATGATTCAGTCCTGCCACTTGGAGGGGCAGCTAAAAAATAGGAGAAAATGACAGGGGCAAGATGCCAGACTGGCATCAATACATAACCTAGTACAGACATACTAAAGCCCATGAGGCTGATGGTATCTCTTCTTATGCTACAGTTTAGAGGAGGATTGCCTGAGCATGTACTTACAGATGATTATTTTTACTTTAAATATTTGTCATCCTTTTTCTACCAAAAAATGCTTCTTTCCAAATAAATATGTTCAGCATTAGGACAGTAGAAGCACATTCCATTTTATTTTTGTAATTATGATGGTGCCATGGCTGATATTTAAAATATGAAACTGAACATTCTTCTTGACATACTTCTTTTCTACCATTCTGCGTAGGCAAACTTGCTTTTGCTTGTTTGGGTTTGTTTTTTCTGTTCACCAGTGTTGAAACAGTTGTACAGGGTGGCATGATGGACAAAACAAAAGAACAGTGTTAACGGCATGCTTCACAACTGAAGGGGCACCTATGCCTTAAAGGTGGAGGAGTAGAGTAAAACCATCATGTCTAGTGGCATCCAAAAAGTACCCAAGTATTTCACGAGTACAGAGTAGGGAGCTTGGCAGAGTGATGAAAAGGATTCTTTAGCAGTTGCTGGGTTCCCTGCTCCTCTTTACTCTGGTTAGCTTTAAAAATTAGTTAGAAGCTCAAGATTCCCAATCCGCGGTGTTGCATCCTATTTGCAACTGAGGAGACAGAAGATGAGCTTTCTGCCTGGTTAGCAAAAGCAGCCCTAAGCCTTGTCCATACTCAAAAGGTCTACATCTTAATACCTTCCACTGGTTGGCAGTCCTTTTCCTTTCCTGCAATGAAAAACAGAACCCACCAACCAGCCTGTTTTTGTATACCAGCCCTCTCCACTCTGCCGCTCCACTTTCTTGAAAAGGTGCTATAGGGCAGACAGGCCTAGTATTTCCATTTATTTAGCTGCAACATTTACTTCACATCCTTCTCACAAAGGTCATGACATGGCTTACATGAGGTTATCCGCTTTCATCATCACAAATCTAGCCCTCCTGTTAAGTAAGCAGAAACAGTGGATCTCAAGCAGCATATTCTGAAGTGAATGTTATGCGGCCTGTCCTTCAGTTACCATACTGTCCTCTGATATAGAGGAAAATATTGTTCTTCTGGGGTAGTTGATGCCAGATCCAACTATTACTCCAACTGGCACCAGTTAAGTAAAACATTATCCCCTTTCTCATTGGGAAAATGTATGCTGGGCCAACCAGAGATTTTCTCAACTCTACCCAGCCACTGAGCTTGAATGTGGGCCCAATTTGAATCCAGGACTTTTTAAACACTGTTACACAACACTGCCCTGACAACCCACTACTGATCTGTTCCTACTGTTCCTTCCATTGGGATTCAAGTCAACATTTCTCAAACCCTTCGTCACATGTTCTCTCTCTCTCTCTCTCTCTCTCTGTGTGTGTGTGTAAATATGTGTATAAAAATAAATGCAATGTCAGCAGTTAAACTTCCTTTATTTTATTTTTTTTGCCTTTTATACTTCCAAACTAAAATCAGATTTCCAAGCCCTTCTCTCGCTCCCTCGATAAAATCTAACCTCTGAGAGATGATGGTTCTTTATCCCTCTGTTTAAACAGACTTCCTCCCTGGGTCTTTTAAGTTAAAGCCACAAACTTCAACACTTGTTAAAGCTTCATAAAGATTTTAAAATAAAGACCTGAAAAACATAAACCCAATAGACAGGACGATGATGATCTTATTTATACCCCTTAAGGGAAAACAGTTCTATCAAATCCAGAATGACTGCTACATAGCTACGATAAGAGAGGAGTCCTTCAAGCTAGTACTGTACAATGGAGCGGTAAACCGAGTTCCTTCAAAGCCCCGACTGAAGAAGAAAGGGAAACTGAAGCAAAGACTGGGAGAATTCTCGTGTTC